CTGACTGGATGGCACCTGACAACAAGCAACAAGGACTTATTCAGTGCAAATTAATAAGTTCTTTCAACATCATAAAAGGATTATACACCTGGACCTCACTAGATGGAATACATAGGATTCAAATTGACTACATCTGTGGAAAGAAATGATCGGAAGTCAAAGAAAAGTTGGGGCAGACTATGAAACAGACCATCAATTGCTCATGGCAATTTCAGGATGAAGCTGAAGAAAATTAAAGCAAGTCAAAAAGAGCCAAAATATGACCTTGAATGTACCCCACCTGACTTTACAGACTATCTCAAGAACAAATTTGATGCATTAGATACTAATGACTGAAAACCAGAAAAGCTGTGGGATGACATTATGAACATAATACATGAAGAAAACGAAAGGTCATTAAAAACACAGGAAAGAAAGAAAATACCAAAATGGGTATCAGAAGAGACTCTGCCACTTGTTCTTGAGCACAGAGATGCTAAAACAAGAGGAAGAAATGATGAAGTGACAGAATTAAACAGAAAAATTTAAAGGACAGCTCGAGAAGACAAAGTAAAGTGTTATAATGAATGTACAAAGACCTGGAGTTAGAAAAACAAAAGGGAAAAAACATGCTCAGCATTTCTCAAGAAAAGAACTGAAGGGAAAAAATAATCAAGCCTCAGGTTATAATACTGAAAGATTCCATTGGAAAAGTACTGAATGATGCAGAAGAAGTTAAATTACTACACCAAAAGAATTGGTTGATGCTCAACCATGTCAAGAGGTAGCATATGATCAAGAACTGAGGGCCCTGCAGGAAGAAGGCTTAGTTGCACTAAAGGCACTGGCAAAAAACAAGGTTTCAGGAATTGATGGAATACAAATTGAAATATTCCAACAAACTATTTAAACACTGAAGGTGCTTATTTATCTATGCCAAGAAATTTGGAAGACAGCTACCTTGCCAACAGTTGCAAGAGAAACATATTTGTGCCCGTTCCAAAGAAAGGTAATCCAACAGAATGTGGAAATTATCAAACAATATCACTAGTATCACATGCAAGTAATATATTGTTGTTGTTGTTAAGTGCTATCGAGTTGATTCTAACCCATAGCGACCCTGTATAGGGTTTCCAAGGAACAGCTGGTGAGCTTAAACTACTGATCTTGCAGTTCAAGCGCCTTTGTTGTCAGACGCATTAGCCCACAACTGAATATAATTAAAAAATAGTTGCAGCAGGACAGCGACAGGAAGCTGTTAGACATTCAAGCTGGATTCAGAAGAGGATGTGGAACAAGGGAGATATCATTGCTGACATCAGATGAATTTTGGCTAAAAATAGAGAATACCAGAAAGATGTTTACTTGTGCTTTATTGACTATGCAAAGGCATTTGACTGTGTGGATCATAACAAACTATGGATAACATTACAAAGAATGGGTTTTCCAGAATACTTGATTGTGCTCATGAGGTCTGGAAAGGAACTCCCCTCGTGGCCCAATTTTCAGGCAAGCAGTCAATAGGTAAACAGGAGGGACAACAACACTAGTAAGGTATGCTCATCACGTAATCGTCAGTCATTCAAAATCAACAGGGCAACGTTTACTTATGGACAGAGTTGAGAAGGAGTGGACTGGGACTAGGAAGCACAGGGAGGAAGTGGGATAACTGTCGTTGCGTGGAGGGGTTTGAAATCATTCAGATAAAACAAAGTGTGTGATTTGTTGAATGTAAAACTGATTATCTTGTCTGTAAACCTTCATTCAATTTACAATAAAAGGTATGCTGTTACTCTTGGACCTAAAATGATGTGACAAGTATCCTTTTTAGAAAATCTGCAAATGGGAAATAACAATCCCAATGGCCATTTATTCAACAGTCTTTAGATTTTAGCTTTTATATTTGTATTATCCTCAGTTTATTAATGAAAATACTATGATGTAGGTAATATTAATATGCTTACTCAACAGGTAAGCAAACTATAGAGCACTAGTTGTTACCTGTCAAAGGTTACACAACCAAGTGTCAAACTACAATTTGAATGAAGGCATTCCTGACTTACATTCAGTATTACTTCATCCTGGAGGGAACACCCCCTCACACCATCCCTATGCAGATTTATGGCTGTCTGACCTCTGACACTTGCCTCAGGGCTTGAGGTGAAACCTAATTTAATATATAGATGGCTAGACCCATTTGGGAAGGAGCTCTGGTAGCGTAGTGTTTACGAATCGGACTGCGAACCACAAGGTAAGCAGTTCGAAACTACCAGCTGTTCCGTGGGATAAAGATGAGGCGTTCTGCTCGCGTAAACATTTACAGCCTCGGAAACCCTGTACAGGGTCACTATGAGTTGGAACCGACTCCACGACACATAACAACAACAACAGACCCATTTGGGGAGTCCTGGTGTGGTGCTGTGGGTTAATGCACCAGACTGCAAAGCCGTTTGAACTGCAAGGTTGGTGGTTCAACCTCACCAGCTGCTCCTTGGAAACCCTATACAGGGTTGCTATGGATTGGAACTGACTCGACAGCAATTAACAACAACAACAGACCCATTTGGACATATTGTCAAGAGGGACCAGAAGGATATCATGTTTGGTAAGGTGGAGGGTCAGAGAAAAAGAGGAAGACCCCCAGCGAGATGGATTGGCAAAGTGGCAGCATCGATGGGCTCAAGTGTGGCAACAATTGTGAGGTTGGCCCAGGATCAGGCAGTGTGTCTTTCTGTTGTGCATAGAGTCTCTCTGAGTCGGTACTGACTCAATAGCACCTAACAACAACAGACCCATTCATCTCCAAAACATAAATTTTGTTCGTAAGTAGAAGAGCAGTGAGAGGGAGAATGTTAAATAAACAAATATATGGAATCCAGGCAATAAGCATGGTAAAAATTAAGTATACAGGATTTCAAGAGTAGGACAAGTTGAGAATATTTACACTTTAAAAGATATCTCCTGGTTAAATCCAATAACTAGCCTGAGAAAAAGATACTAATATATACAGTCATCTTGTTTTCTCAGAAAGAGAAATTTATTTTAGGCCCTCACAGCAAAAATACATGAAGACTCAAGAAAGAAAAACATAAAGGACATTTAGGTAAGTATAATGTAGGATTATATTAATCTGGATAAGAAATTGTCGGGTAATCTTTAGTGTCTAGAGCTATGTGAAACTGACTTTAAAATTTTATATTTAATCTCCCATAAACATAATAAATGTATTCTCTTTTAATGTCAATGATGAGACTTTCTCCATTTTCATAAGTCAGTTTAATGAGAGGACTGAGTGGACCAAAAACAGTTGTCCTGGAAGAGACATTAGTAATGCTTTCTATACTTCTGTGTTTGTGTGCCTGAGAAATGTTTTCTCAGGATAAAAGATGAAAGAAAAAGGAATGTAGAGCAACATCCAAATGAGTCCAGGTTTTATAATTTGGAAGCTAATGGAACAATGCACTAATACAATTATTTACACAAGAGATTTGAAGCTGACTTCAGTCTAGTGGCCAAAGAAATAAACTCTGGATCTCTCGCATTCTCAATAGCACATACATACTTAAGACTATAGGACATGCATTTATGTAGCTCATGATTGAAATGAAATGCCATAAAATATAATGATGTAGAAGGAATTATGGTGCCATCAGAAAGGGTGGCTTGCCATCTATGGCTCTGACATGCAGTTGGATGGAAAGAGAAAGGATGTCTGAATTTACCTGACCGTTGGGCAGTCTTGCCTCCCAGCTAGTTGTGAGCACTGTGGCGGTACGGAGGCAGCAGGCTGCTGACAATCTACAAGAAACTGATAAATTAGACATATATACAAAGAGATGACAGCGCAAGGTGTTAGTAACAGTATAAAGCCTAAAGCAATTGTCTGAGATTTAGTGAGGAATGTTCATTCACACAGAAATATCTTATGGCTTGATTAACCTTTTTTTTTTTTTAATCCTGATGTCACTAGAATAGAAAGGATTTGTTTTTCTTATCTAATTACAGTACTACAAAAATTAGGCACGGAATTTCTCAAATACATTCTGATATGCTCGGTCATACAAGTTTACATACATCAAAAATAAAGGGTTTACTAGGGTATGTCAAAAAGTATTGCTACAAAAGTCATAGAAACTTTTATTTTCAAAACATATCAAAATGTGACGCTATTACTTCTTCTGAAGATGGTGTTTCCATATCTTTTAGCCCTTCCTGAAGAATTCTGCACTTTTCAATTTATATCACATCAAATTGGCAGTGTGGACATCCCTGAGGGACTCAAATCCTCTTTCTTTTAAAAGTTCTTTATGTCTTTGGAATAAAAAGAAGTCTGAAGCGAAAAGATCAAGGCCATAGGCTGGATAGGGGTAAGGTTGTACACTGAAATTCTCATAGACGGGTGCATTATGATGGGAAAGATTCCTGGCATTTTTCTTACCAATGTAGTTTTCTAATTTCTTAAAACTTCTTCATAATAAGACCCCTTGATTATCCTGTATCCTTTGAGAAAATGTGTATTTGAGGTTCCAAAATATAGCCACTCCATAGACCTTCTGAACTGACTTCTCTACCTTGAAATTAACTGGTGTAGCACTATTTAATAGGACCCCCTTTTTTTCTGAAGACACCCAAATAGTGATATTAAGACAAGTATATTACAGAGAGAACTAACTACAGTCATTTTCACTGATCACAGAGACATATTCAAACATATTTTGTTTAGAATAAAACTGTGCATGTATGAATTGGATCCTCAGTAGTAATATTTTTTGACTTACCCTCAAATTATTATAATATAAGTTTTGAATTTGTACTTAGAATTTATATTTGTTATTCCAAAATTGAATATATTCAGACAACGGACTCTTTTGTGAGGCCACATGAGCCTATTATAAATCACAAGTATACTGAGAAGAACATGCAATACAATCTTTTCCAAGATTAATAGAATGACAGGGAAATCATCTTTAAAGTTGTCTGAAAATATACTTTATGAGAAACAAGAATTGTTAGTAGAAACCTTAGAATGGTTATTATACAGGCAATTATTAGTAACTTGGATTGAGGGAGAAAGCCAATCTGAATAAATGGGAATGTACTTTTGTTTTGTTTTTATGATTTTAAAATAGTTTAAATCTCTCGAGGTTAACCAGAGCTAGCTGGTAAAAGGCCATGCTTTAATACATCAGTCATACGTTAAGCATCTTCTCCAAGAGAGAGCATATACTGAGTGCGCTCAAAGAATTCAAGAGTAATCTGTTTACTGATCCCCGGCTAATAATAGCTGTAGAGTCGCTGAGATATTTCTCAGTATTTCTCTAGGTAGGTCTGTTGTTGTTGTTAAGTGCCACCGAGTCAATTCCGACTCACAGCGACCCTGTATAGGGTTTCCAAGGAGCAGTTGGTGAGTTTGAACCACTAATCTTGTAGTTAGTGTTGATCCTACAGTTCAGTGGTGATCCTACAGTGCCATACCAAGGTTCCACTAGATAGGTCTAGAGTCACCCATTGTATTTCAGCAAAAAGATTTTGTAAAAAAAAGTTAACCAGAGTTAGACTTAAAATTCAGTGATTCTTGAATAGTTGTATAATTTATCCTTGCTAATTACCAGATTTAATGTCTGCTTAGCCAACCTTTTCTCCTACATGCTATGAACAGACTATTTAAGCCAATTTATCATAAATTCTGGATTTACAGCTTTAAATTAATGAGGCGCTACTGAAATTTCCCTTGAAAAGTTTTAATCCAGTCACATATTTTAAAGCCAGTATATATTCCGTGACAATAAAAAACTTACCTATATAGCTACAGAAAATAAAAATTCATAAAATTTTCTGATTATTTTATCTAAGATATCAGAAATACATGAAAGTTCTCTTTGGCTAAAGGTAGAATACAATATAAGGCAGGCTCAATCTGAGGTACATTTCTAAGGTACCTTTTATAAGGTGGTCTTTGTTGCCAATTTGATTCCTTTTAAGTACCTGTTTTTCCGATTATGTTGTTGTTAAGTGCTGTCGAGTCGGTTCCGACCCATAGCGACCCTGAACAGGGTTTCCGAGGCTGTAAATCTTTACGGGAGCAGAAAGTCTCATCTTTCTCCCGATTATAGCACTCAGTAAAAGTCTTAGTGATGCAACAAATACTCATAAATCTGTTTTCATAGATTAGAGGAATTCTTTGTCATTTTTTCCCATTAACTGTTTGTTTTCCCATTTTTCAGTTGATTCCCTTTTGTAGAAACTCAGTCTTAAAGGATGCATTCTTTTATTTTTTGTGACAGGTCTATCTAAGCAGTGGTGGTGGTGTGCTGTGGAGTCGGTTCCGACTCATAGTGACCCTGCATAGGGTTTCCGAGGCTGTAAATCATTACGGGGGCAGACAGCCTCATCTTTCTCCCATGGAACAGCTGGTTGTTGAACTGCTGACCTTGAGGTCATCAGCCCCACTTGTAACCACTACACAGTAGTCTTTGTTTTACTTAAACTGGTGTCTGCTGCCATCCTGTGCTGTGTTTGTGTAAATGCAATGGATGCAAATGAACGTGAACACTTGGCAAACCACTCTGGAATTTGACCTCACATTGTCAAGGAAGAATACAGGAAGCTCTTCTAAAGCCTCAGGATGGCAATTCTTATTAGAATATTTAAATGGCTTAAGTCTTAGCTTTTCATATATCAGAAGTAATTTTTGGCAATACAGTCACAAATTTTTATTCATTCAAAATATACGTGGTGAGTACATTTAGAGAGCAGGTGAGCAGGACCACAGTGGATTTTCTTAATAAAATGTTTAACATGTGGTGGTTATTTTTAATATTTGTAGTGCATGTCATTTTCTCCTTCAGAAGTAGCATCACCTCTAGCTAATTGTGGCACTGCAGGATGTACTGGACCACAAGGTCGGGTTGAACCATAAGGTCAGCTGTTCAAACTCACCAGCCAGTCTTTGGAAACCCTAGAAAAGGTTGTTTTAAGTTGGAACCCACTGGATGGCAATTAGCAACAACAATTATTTATTGGGAGCACGGTGGCTCCATATGATAAGCAATTGGATTCCAAACCACAAAATTTGTGGTTTGAGCCCACCAGCCGCTATGCGGAAGGAAGATGAGACCTTCTGTTCTGTGAAGATTTAACGCCTCTGAAACCCTCTACAGGATCGATATGAGTGGGAACGGACTTGATGGCACTTAACAACAATTACTATTATTTGTAAGTACTTTGTAACTGTTATCCTTGAAGAATAAATATCAAATTCCGTAGTTTAGACAACAGATTTTAAAAAATATGACAAAAAAATAGCTGCATAGCTCAGACTTAAGTATATTCTAAATCCCTCTTTTAGGGGTTGTTAAGCATCATGGAGTCAGTTTCAACTCATAGTGACCCTGTATAGGGTTTCTGAGGTGCAGCTGGTGAGTTTGAACTGCCACTTATCCTATAGTGACACACCAGGACTGTCTCTCTCATTCAGAGAACCTATATATGTGTGTGTGTATGTGTGTGTGTATAGGTTGTCAAGTGCCGTTGAGGTGGTTCCAACCCATAGAGACCCTATATAGGGTTTACAAAGAGCAGTTGGTGGGTTTGAACCACAGACCTTGTATGTGGTTAGCAGTCCAGTACTTATCCTACAGTGCCACATCAGGACCCCCTTTTAGGGTCTACAGCCCTCCAATTCTAATCACATCTAGCCTTGCTGCATTCACATACTGTTGGTACTGCATGCTATAGATTCTGACCCACAGCGCATCTGTATAGGGTTTCTGAAGCTGTAAATCTTTATGGGAGCAGAAAGCCTCATCTTTCTCCTGTGAAGCAACTGGTGAATTCGAACTGCTGACCTTGCAGTTAGCAGCCCAGTGTGCAACCCACTACATTACCAGGGTTCGTTCATTCTGCATTACATACGTTTTGCAAAATTTAGAGGATGTGATGGGAGACTGTGAAAGTTCCTCCTAACTGAGAGATGAGCTGCAATCCCACCAATGTGGTTTCTCCTACTCTTGTTAAAATCTATTCTGCGCTTAGGAATTTGGCTTCACCTCATTGCATTTTATGGCATTAAGCATGGCAATTATGTGATTTACAGAGAAAGTACTACAAAACCTCAGCAGCCAGTGCTGTCTCCTGGGCCATTGAAATTCATCTCAACTATTCAATAATCAAGATATGAAACTCTGATTGTGTGCCAGAAACTATGTTAGGCAGTGTACACAAAAAGCGAATAGAGACAAAAAATACAGTCCCTGCCTCACACAAATCACACTGGATTGGGAGAGGCAAGCACATTCAATAATCACAACAAAGGATGATGATGATGATGATGATGATGGTAATAGCACCTAGTACTTATTTGTTGCTTACCTCATGCCAGGCACTGTGTAGACACTAAATATGCAGATCTCCTTTAACTTTGTTTTATTCATCTCATTTTAGTGATGAAGAAAGGGGGACTTCAGGTTAAATAACTTGCCAGAGTCCACTAAGAGATAGAGCTGGGGTTTGAACCCAGGATTGTATGACCCAAAGACTGTGCTTACCTTATAGACACATGACTATTGCCTCCATGGAAGGAGAAGAGTAGGGTGCTATGGGAGCTCATCGCAAACACACTTAACTAAATTTAAATGGCTTTGGAATGCTTTTAAGAGGTGGTGACATTTAGCCTGATCTCTAAGTAATAAGGAGGTAGCCAAGAAACTTTGTAGCAACTACAAATGGTTTATGAAGCATTAATAAAACAATCATAAAATTAAAGTGGTTAATGAAAATGTTCACACTGAATTAGACAC